AAACTTGAAACTCAATATGTGACTAAGACTATCCCAAACAAATGTTATTTGTTAAAATAACTCTTTTCTTTTAAAATAGGTCCCTCAATTGATCTGGATGGCAACTTGAATAGGTTTACAAAATTGACCCAAGACTAAGCTAACTGTGATGAAAAACTTTCAAAAGATCAATTGACTATAGTTCCGTTGAACTCCATTAGTGATAGATATAGAGACGTTAAGATTGCCTTAGAGTATGGGAGGGCAGAACTTACTATTGATGTAATTATGAATGCCCTAAAGAATAAAAGCTCTATAAATTAAATCTGAATCTAAGGAGAATCACAGTGGTAACACCTTGTTGGTAAGAGGAAAGGATTCTGGTAAACCTAATTGTCACTCTAAGACCTTCAATGAAAACAAAAGCAAATAGAGTGACAAGAGTAAGTCCAAAAACAAGGCTGAGGGTAAGAAATATTTTTACGATGGGAAATTGAGACACTTTATTAAAGATTGTTATAAAAAGAAAAATGAATCAAAAGAAAAGAAATTTGATGATGGAATGCTACATTAGTTTATAATAAAGATAAAGTTGAAGACGGGTTGGTTTTAAGTTAATGTTGAAAAGAAGTTTAGTAATGAATGGATCCTTGATTTAGGCTATTTTTCCACGTCTGGTGGGCAAATTATAATGGGTAATAATATGACCAGTAAAGTAAGTGAAATAGGAACTCTAAAATTGTTGCTTAAAAATGGTTATATTCTAATTTGAAAGGAACTAGATATGTTCCAGACTTAGAAAGGAATCTGGTGTCTCTAGATATGTTAGATGACATGGAGTTTGACGTAAAACTAGGTCAATGACATATAAAAATTCTTAGGGGTAGTGACTTAATCATTAGTATCCTTAAGAAACATGGTCTCTATTTTCTTAAAGCAAAACCTTTACTTGGATTGACTGTAGTTGCATTGACTTAGAACTTTACTTTTTCAAAATTATGGCATGAAAGACTTGGTCACAATGGCAAGAAAAGTCTAAAAGCATTACAAAATAAAGGAGTTTTTGAAAATCAAAATCTTGGTAGTCCCTATAACAATGCGTGATAGGCAAAGAACACAAGCTTTCCTTCTTACCTAGAATTCATAAATCCAAACAAATACTTGAATACTTGTATGCTGATTGTGGGGTCATGCTTCTGTATGCACCCTATCTGGCTTTAAATATTATCTTTTGATCATTAAAGATTTCTCAGGAAAAATCTGGATTTTCTTATTAAAGTCAAAAGATGAAACCTTTTTTGTTTTCAACGATTGTAAAATACAAATTGAAAAATAAAGTGATCATAAGATAAAAGTTTTAAGAACTGATAATGGTTTTGAAATTCCGCAATTATGAATTCAACAATTTCTATAAAGAGTGTGGCATATTAAGACATAAAACAATTACTTATATCCCTCAATAAAATGCCATAGCTAAGAGAATAAATAAAACTTTATTAAACAAGGTGAGATGCATGCTCTTAAGTTCGAGTTTGCCTAAATTATTTTGGAGTGAAGCTGTAAGAACTGGTGCATTCTTGTTAATAGAAGTCTTACTAGTGCCTTGAATTTTGATAGTCTTTAATCTGTTTGATCTAAATATCCTGTTGATTATTTTCACCTAAAAATATTTGGTTATGTTGTATATGCTCATCAAAATATTGGTAAATTAGAACCTAGATCATTTAAATATATTTTCTTGGATTATGGTGAAAATGTGAAAGGCTACAAATTATGGGTCAAAAGTGAAAAAGGTGATAAGGTAATTGATGTAGGAGATATCATTTTTAATGAGTCTATTATACTATACTTAGAAGGAAAATAAAACAACTTTACTAGAAAGAATGCTCAAATTAAGGTGGAGACTATTGTTACTGCCATGACTGAAACTGGTCCTAATGAAAATATCATCTTAACTGAAATGGAAAATAATCAAGTCACTGATTTTAATGACCAAGCTGATCTTGCAACTCTTTCCCTTGATGAATATCAACTCATAAGAGATAGGGAGAGAAGACATATTAGACTACCCGCTAGATTTGAAAGTGATGATTTTGTTTCACTATTTACATATCAAGAATAATTCGAAACGAGCCAAACTCCTATGATGATGCCATTAATAGAAAAGATGCTAAAAATTGGATAACTGTTATGGAAGATGAGATGTCTTCACTCCTTAAGAATAATATTTGAAATTTGATTGAAAGGCCTAGAAATCATAAATTAATTGATTGCAAGTGGATTTACTAAATAAAAGGAGGGGGAAAAATAAAAATGTGAGATATAAGGCTAGACTTCTGACAAAAGGTTTTACACAAATGAGGTTGTAGACTATAATGAAATTTTCTCCTATGTTGTTAAATACACCACTATTAGATGCATTCTAGCCCTTGTTGCTCAATTTAAATGGAAACTTGATCAGCTAGACGTCAAACTACTTTTCTTTATGGTGATTTAGATGAGGCATATTGGTTTCGTAAAAGAAGATTCTGAAAATGTAGTTTATCTATTGAAGAAACTACTGTATGGCTTAAAACAAGCCTTGGTACAAAAGATTTGACACTTTTGTTTTGAAACTTGATTTTTAAAGAACCAATTATGATACATGTCTATACTATAAAGGTAAAAGAGGTAAAAATTCTCTTTTCTTATTATTTTATGTGGATGATATGTTACTTGCCAGTTATAATGAATCTGAAATCGAGTACATCAAACAAAAACTTAAATGTGAATTTGACATGAAAGATCTTGGGGCTGCCAAAAAGATCATTGGCATGTAGTTTTTTAAAAATAAAGAAAAAGACATGTTATTTCTAAATCAACATGACTATGTGGTCAAAATTTTGAAAAAAAATTAATATGCTTGACTGCAAACATGTGACCTTGCTTTTTTGCTAATCATTTTAAGCTTTCATCTGAATTCTGTCCCAAAAGTGATGAGGAATTTGATAGAATGTCAAGAATTCCTAATGTTAATATGATTGGATTTGTTATGTACTTGATGGTATGTACCAACCCTAATCTTACTTTTAGCATTAGCATACTTAGTATATTTATGAGTAAATCCTAGGGAAAAACATTGGAATGCTTTAAAATTGCTTTTAAGATACCTAAAAGGTACATCAAATTTTAGTCTTGTATTTAAAATGAATAAAGAAATGGTGACTTTAAAGGGTTTTACTAATTCTGATTTTGCTAGAAATAGGGACAAATAAATAGTCTTTACTAATGGGATGCTTCATTTGGATGATGACATTTGTCCTAATAGTGGTAGTTTGATTTGGCACATTGAACATGGTGATTATGTTCATTTGGCGTTGATTCATTTTAACTGATTGAATTCTTCATTCTAGCTTATGACATAGAGAGAGTTCTAGAGAGTTTGACTCTCATTGGCTAGGTTTTCAATCTGTTTTCTTTTTGCTGAACATCTCATTCGAGACCGTGGTCTAATGTTTTAGCCTTGATACTTGTATTTTGTAGAGTGAAAATTGTAAGAATGAGAGGGTTCTTGTGCTGTAATTTTTTGGAAGAGATCTGAGGTTTCTTGTGTGATTCTCGTCAAATCTGTTGGTTCCTGTAGAAGAGATAAGTCTTTAGAACCATATCTGTGTATTGAACTTTGTAATCTTTGTTGTCGATTTTAGGGTTTTATAGTGCAATCGAGCAATATCTATTTTAATGGATGCTCAACAAGGGATTAGGTGTTAAGAAGGTCACCGAACCTCCATGGCTTCGGCCGTAAAATTCTATGTTCAATCTTTAACTTCTGCAAGTTTTATTTTTTGTTATGTTAAAGATCGATTGTATCTTAAGTTTAATATCGTGTATCTGAGCCTTTTCAAACATACATATCAAATGTGATGTAACAAACAAATACAAAATCGATTAGAAGTACATTTTGTTTTATTAAGAAAACATTGTAAGAGTTGAATTTACAAGTGTAAAACCTCCATCTATCATCAAATTATGCCCATTCACAAGCTTAGATTCATCACTTGCTAAATACACGACACATTGAGCCACATCCTCCGCCTTCAAATTTGAATATTTATCATCCAGCCATTCATTCTCTTTTAGCCCTAACAATGTCCTCGATTGATATGAAGGAAATGCATATGGTGACACACAATTAACTCGAATCCCATGTTGTCCTAACTCAACCGCAGTGTTCCTGTCGATAAATGAGATGCAATATATTATTCGATAAAGTAGGAAAAAACTTCAAAAATGAGAATATATGAATATGCTCGGCTAAATTACGATAATATCGAACACCTGGTAAGACCCAACAGTGCATGCTTGGAACATGTATAAGCATGCGTAGCAACGCCCCCCATAACCGAACAAACACTAGTTGTGTTGATTATGCTCCCTTGGCCGACCGGTTTCATGACTCGTGCAGCGTGCTTAGTTCCCAAAAATGCACCTGTGACATTTACTCGAAGAATGTTTTCAAAATCGGCTCGATCATTAGTTAGAATGTCGGGTTTTTTAACGTCCATGATGCCTGCATTGTTGAACATGATGTCAAGTTTTCCGTGCATTGAAACTGCCCTGTTAACTGCATTTTGGACGTCTGATTCATTTGTAACATCACAGTGGATGAAAGAAGCATTTGATGGAGATATGTTTTTGCAGATCGTATGGCTCTGATCATCTTTGATGTCAGCAATCAAGACTTTAGCACCATGTTGACAAAATAAGTCCGCTGTAGCGGATCCAAGCCCTCCTGCTCCACCTGTAATTAGGGCTACTTTGCCTTCCAATCTGCCATGTGAGGGAACATTTGGGTCAAGTTGTTAGGAATTAAACCTTTAGCGCAATCATACATCGAAAAACGTAAAGCAAACACCCGTATTTACAGTCAGTTCACTCTCACTATGACATGATCTCGTATCTCTTAGTTTGTGTCACTTAGATAAGAACCCCAAAAGTTTCTTTATACATCATAGAAAATTTGCCTCAAAACGATAAGGGAAGAACACAAACACATCATCCCCAATTCATTGATCTTGAAGATCAATCAGTGGTCGAAATGATAAGTGTATAGAATAATTTTTTTCTTGAAAACGATGAAAGGATTGTATTTCTGCTTACCTCTTAGCTATACCTGAGAGAACTGAACTGCTTCCCATGGCTTTAATGAGAGAAAATGAAATAGCTTTAAAGATAGTCAATTTCAATTAGAATAAATCTATCGTTTATCAAGTTTCTTATATAATGGATTGTTACTGGGGAGTAAATGATAATTAAAGTCATCGTTGAGAGAAAAATCGGATTTCCCTATATAATAATTGGAAGATTACTTGGTTTCTTATCCCAATAGATGTGTGGCTATGAAAAAAGGATATGGTGGAAAATAAATAATTGCGTGGTAGACTAGGCCAAATACAAAATTCTATATGTTTTGCTAAAATAGAAAGAATTGGAATCTCAAATCAAAACCTCACGAAAGCTGTAAACAAGAAGCCGCACTATCATCCTTCCACGGGACCATTTTAGGATATTTGTTTGAAAATGACTAATTAAAACCAATGTAATAGGTCTAAGTTCTAAAATTGATTTAATGTTATTAGAGTAAATGACAAAGATATTGTTGACAAAAGGAATGATTTTCCTTCAATAATATTGGATTCACATGAGATGAGAATTATTCGATTCTTAATCGAAAAATATTAGTGGTCATGACATAGAAATGCAGTAGAAAAAGAATTAATTCAGTTGTAGAATGGTAAAAAGGCTTATTTTGTAAGAGGGGGTCGAAGAATTGAAATTTTAGATTAAAATTGATGCGGCGAATTATATAAGTAGGAAGGTTACCTATCACCCTTCCATCCAATCATTTTAAGGAATTTGTTTTAGAATGACTAAATAAAATCAAGTTACAAGTAATGATCAATTTATTTTCCCTTGAAGAGACTAACTTTTGGAGTCCCCTATTACGAATATTGGTGGCATGTTCAATATATTAAATCGAACAATATTGAATAAAAATTCAAAATTCAAAATAGGTTAAAATATTATATAATATAGTGTGCGATTTCAGTACGTTACATATGCTTATAATCTAAGATTGATTGAAAAATTACCAATTTCTTCTATTTAGAAAGGTCATACAGTAGCGATAGAAG